TAGGATCAGACTGTTGCAATATCGTTGTAGTAATGAGTGCCTCCTTCAACTTATCAAAGGCATTTTGTTCCTTCATTTTTATTCAAATGGAGCACCCTTCTCCAATAAGTTTGACAATGAAGCAGTAATGTGAGCAAATTGTCGAATAAAATGGCAATAGTATCTAACAAGGCCTAAAAATGAGTGAACTTCAAAAACATCTATGGGAGTTGGCCAATCTTCCATTACTTTTACCTTATCTTATTCCATATGCATGTCTTTGGAGGACACTACATGCTCCAAAAAAGTGACTTTTGACTTCCAAAGTTCACATTTTGATTGCTTGCAATAGAAGCGACTATCTTGTAGTCAACACAAAACTTCTTCTAGGTGTTGCTCATGTTCTTTAAGAATTTTACTATATATGAGGATATCATCAATAAAGACAACTACATACTTATCCAAAAGGTCTCAGAATAATTTATTCATTTGACTCATGAATGAGGCTAGAAAATTGAAGAGACCAAAGGGTAAAAATAACCATTCAAAATATCTATAGTGCATACAAAATATTGTCTTTTCTACATCTTTTTTTCCAATAGGTGTTTCTCAATAGCCGCTCTGAAGATCCAATTTATTAAAGATCGTCGTACTTCAAAGTTGATCAAAAAGATCATCTAAGCATAGAAGTGAATATGTATTTTTAATAGTTTGTTTATTAAGACCTCAATAATTGATGCAAAGGCAAAGTCTACTATCTTTCTTAGGTACAAAAAGTAGAGATGCTCCCTATGATGATGTGCTTTTTCAAATGGATCCTTTCTTTAAGAGTTCATTCAATGTCTTCTATAGTTCTTCAAATTTTTTTGGTGCTAGGCAATAAATTGGTCAATTTGTGTCAAGGACAAAGACTCGATGAGGAAAAATATACACCAAAAGGCTATCTCGATATAATAAGTCAAAATATAAACAAGTAGGTATATTAAAATGAAACTTGAATGGCTATTGCCACAAGACAAGAAACTAAAGACTCTTGAACCTGGACTAGAAGTTAGAAAGGAGTTGACAAGAGTGAAGAAGCCTTCACTCTTGTCTCTATATATATTAACTAACTAGGGGCTACGTGGCGACGTTCTATAGGACCTCCAATATGTGTTGACTTTGTAGGATACATGCCTTGACTTACAAGGCAAGTTTTTCTACGTGTGGGCCACATAGTTAGCTTGATCTTCAAGCTAAGAACATGTGTGGCACATGGCCAACTTGTTGACCACGTTTCTAATCCAAAAAGTCAATTAAAGACACCTATGAAGTCAAAGCAGCGTCTAGGAAGTTTCTAGGAAGCTTCTATATTAAATATTATAGAATTAACTTACTTTTATCTACTTTTACTTACTTCTACCTATTTCTATATGTAATTATTAGCTTACATGATTATGGCCGTGACAATTTGTTGGTTTGGCTCCAAGGAATAGTTCTATTTGTAAGAGGGCCTCTCAATTAGGAAGTATGCCACTAGGTAGGTTAGTTGGAAAGACCTCTTGATATTTTCTTGTATGACTTGCTCTGCTCATTCTATTCCTTTGATTGTCTTTTCCACTACTGACATGAGATTTGGAACCACTATATATATATATATATATATATATATATATATATCGGTTGCTCATGCTATAATTGTTTTTTCATAAAGGTCGTCTCTACAAATAAGTCTATGGTTGGAAGTTGTCTTTTATCTTTACTTGATGTAGGGGTGCAAAGAGTTACCTTGCATCCTCTATCTTTAAAAGAGATTGTCCTTGCTACCTAATCAACTTTCTTATTTCTCAACTTTAGCCATGGTATACCAAGGATAACATCATATCTTAGCTTTGTCACCTTCAATCTCTCTCTTAAGATGTAAGTGTGTATAAATCTTAAAGTTTCTTCTTCACATGTCTTACTCAATATGTTCTTTTGATCATTTACAAGGTATATACTTCTTTCCTTGATTTTCGTAGTTTTAATTCAAAGCCAATTGACGATTTCAGTTGAGATGCAATTTTCTATAGAGCCACAATCTACAAGTACTCAATATGGTTGTCCTCTTAGTAGTCCCATTAGATGCATCAGTTGACTCTTTTTATAGTTATTTGAGGCTATACCATTTGTCTCTAAGAGATAGTAGCTATGCTTACTACTAGCCTCTGACGCCTTTACTAAGGAGCTATGTTTTTTTGTTCTGACTTATTATCAACTTGGTGAGTTTTGAGACTATGAACCTACCTTATCTTGTTGATACTTACACTTTGGTATTTTGGACAATCTCTGATCTGATGACTTGGCTTCTAATAATAGAAACATAATCATTTTTGTATCAATATTTGTCATCTTTGTGGTGTCAATGATTCTTGTAAGGTATCAATCTCCATTGGCGTTGAATGTTATACCTTAATATTAGATAGCAACATAGGACTTCATGTTATAGATCATACTCTATAATTTCTAAAATCTATAGTATCGACCTTCTTTGTAATTCAAATGGCCTCTTCGAATGTTTGTGGATCCCTAAGCTCCACTTCTTGCTAGATTCTAATTTTTAAACCTTGTAGGAATTGATCCATCATCTTTGCCTCCAAAACATTATAAATTTGGAGACATAGGGATTTGAATCGAGAGACATAATCTTGTACTGACCTAGCTTATGTAAGATTTTCAACTAATCGAGTACTATCTTTTTCGCATTGATGGGCCAAAATTGATTCCTAAACTTAGTCTCAAACTCCTCTCAATCACAAAATCCACCTCGAGTTCCATAGCTTTGAACTTGATGTCACGACCAGATGGCTGCCACATCCCTCAAATAGATAGCTGTATATATAATTCTTTTAGTGGTATTTGTCCCAGATAATTGGAGGTATTATTACATGTTGAAGAGCCATTGATACACATCTTCTTATCTTAAAGTTACAGAGTATGTACTAGGCTTACTCAATTTCAACTTAGGAATTATCAAATCTCATGTCCTTGAGGCTTCTATTTGCCCTTGCAAAGTAGCTATCTGGCCTAAAAGGTGTTGTATTTGAGCCTCCATCAGGGATTCCTTTGTCATATCTCCCATATTATAATTTCTCCACTGGGCCCTACTATTGTTATATCTTTTCACTTTTCAATTGATTTTTTAAGAGTAGCTTGTAGTAGCCTCAATACAATATCCAGTGTGACTACAATAACTAACCTTCGACTATATAATGACTATTAACATGCTACCAAAAGTAAATAGTCTAACACTCGCTCTAATACCAATGAAACAGGATCAAACTATCTCAAAAACCTAAGATCCTTCTATTCTACAGCAACATTAAATCTCGTCACGAAACAAAACAAAAGAAACCAGAACAAAAGTAAACAAAACTACACATAATAGAACATGAAAGACAACTAAGCAGATAGAAACAAAATTGAACAAAAAGATGCAAAATCAAACTTTACTAAGAGAAAAGATATGAAACTATACTTATCGAGATGCCTCAAAAGGCCTAGGCTAATCTTATTTATATCTTATTATACTACTTTGGACTTTCTAAAATGTTCTTAAGTAGTGGGCCCTATCTAAATAATTACCTTAAATTCTTTTGTAGAAGGTTATATGATAGGTCTCACCAAGATAACCGCCTTAAGCTTTTTCTAGAAGGTTCTATGATAGGCCCTACTTAAATAACCGCCATAAACTCTTTGAGAATGTTCCATGGTGGATCCTATCTAATCTACTAACCTAATCCCAATTCTAGAAACTTCTATGGTTTTAACTATCTATATAATTATCTATTCTATACCTTGTTACACAAAATATGTATTTGCATGTCAAAAATGTAAGATTAATATCATCAATGAGAATTTTTTATTGATAAGACAAATATATAAACTTTAGAAGATTGTTGTTTAGTAGATAAGACGTAAGAAATACTATCTTTAGTTTCTAGAAGAATCATAGTCAAATTTTTTTATTTTTAGCATTTATAATATTAAATATAATATTTAATAATTATCCTTTTGCATCAATTATTATTGCAATAAGAAATATTCTACAATACTGTCCTTTTAGATAGATGTCGTCTATGCCAATAAGAAGTTGATAATGTTTCATGTCTTGTAAACTTCTATGGTAGGCAACAAACAAATTGAAAAAAGCAATTTTCTTCATCAACTTTCAATTTTGCATAACTCTTGGAATTTGTTGTTTTGATTTGGTAACAATATGCTTTCAAATTAGTATAGTTATCTTCATAGGAGTCAATTAGCTCAGATATAACTTTTTTCTTCTATGCCATACCATCATATAAGATATTGTAATGCCTTCATTATATCAAATATGCTTTTGAATATCTATAGCTCAATATTGTAATGTGTCTTCCAACTTATTCTTCATGTTGTCTACTATTCAACTCACATTAGTATGTCAGTTGTCCATGTGGTTAGCACCAATCCATATGTATTTAAAGACAAATGTTTGAATAACAAATTCACTTATACATGCCAATTGAGATTGTGATACATGCAATCTTCATTTGCAAGTATTATTGAAATACTTTGCAATGTATCTCATTGGATCAAACTTCATAATAAATGTTTTATAATGCTTTCTAATTGCATCATGAGAAATAGCTTTCTTTAGCTTATTACCACTATTATAAACAACACCACAATAAGAACACTTATAATTTTGAATTAAGATTCTTATTCAATAAATTTCTCAAAAGACCAACTTGTTCACTATTGATTACTTCACAAGTATCATCCATCAATATTCTTTGGAGCTTCGAGAGACAACCGGTTTTTTGATAAAGCCTAAATCTGTTATAAACACACAATAAAGCATCAATAGCATATTTTTTGATGTATTAGAATTCTAGTTATTACCAAATCTATTTCCTTCAATAACAAAATTACTGTAGCAAAAATACATACCAAATAACTTTTATAAAAAATACAGGCCAGAAATATTGTAATATATATTAGAATTATCAAAAATATATCAAAAATACATCAAAAATGCATTAGAAATATCAAATATATTGTATCAGAAATTATCAAAAATTATCAAAATTACTACATAAATAATGTATCAGAAAAACTATATCTGAAATCAAAAATAGAAAATAACAGAAATAACTGTATAAACTATGTATTAGAAAAACTGTATCAGAAATTAGAAATAAAAAATAACAGAAATAACTGTATGAGAATACTTAGATCAAATCTAGGCACTTTACGGTTCCAAAATGTGACTCATTTGAGCGTCTTGTCGAATGATGACGATATTCACATTACCAACAGAATGATCATGTATTGCGAAACTTGATCACAAGAGTCTAGTTACATCGACCGCATTTCAGGCTTATCAGGGCCGCTTGTGTAACACATTGCGTTACACAAGAGTCTAGTTACATTGACCACATTTCGGTCAGGACCATGCCTTCCACAAGCGGCAACAGATGCAGATTTATCAACGTCTACGTCATTGCCGACGACAAAAAGCTGCAAGCATCATTCAATTAGTATAAAAGATTGCGTCTGGCAATGTACAGATTGAACATAAAGACCACAAGAGATGCTTCCCTGGAATACTGGGAGCACAATTTATTCACCTCGTTGTCCACCACCCAAGCTCACATGCGTACACTTGACAAGGCAAAGGTTGCTGTCAGTTGGGTGCGCAAATTCAGCCGGAGTCAGAATTCACAGAAACCAAAGAATAGAATATAATCGGCTGATGATGCAGTATATTAAATCCCAGATGAAGGATTTGGCTAGGGTGCGCAAGAATGCGTCAGCTTCTTCAAGGATTGGCCCTTTGTAGCTGTTAACAAGTACAAATATGATCGTGCACAAATCTGGGGTGATCGAACTGCCTTTGCAGCGTCATAGCGAGAAAGCAATAATAATCAGAAACTGAAGCAACGGCTTCAACTTGACAATAGTAGAATGATACCAACCAAAGCAAATGAATTCTTAGACAATTGCCAGTGAAAAATGGATTAAAGTAGGCAACCAGACCCACCTTCGCAACTCAATTTTTCCAATTACTTGTCCCTCGCAGAGCTACCAACAAGGAGGAGGACATCATCTCCTAGCTTGGCAACCGAAGGAGGAGGGGGAAGTGCTGCAATGGCCACGAAGAGCTGCAATTGAAGGAGGAAAAAGCGTTGCAATTGAACTGGTTGCAATCGCTTCGATTGCAAGAGGAGGAACTGCACTAGAAAGACGAAGACGCCAATGATGAAGAGGACCCTGGTCGCTTAAATTTATAGGAGCCTCGGTGCTCGGAACTAACCTGGTGCTCTCTGGTATATTGCCGAAAAATCGACAACTGCAGCCAGGGAGGGGGCGTCCGGTTTGCGCGGGGCCCAGACAGTGCGGAAAAGTGCCGTTTTGGGCCCCAGTTCAAACAAAAAAAAAACTGGAATTAGATAGGTTATCAAGTTGAGGGGCATTTTTGCAATTATCACAAAGGGCAGGGGTAGATTTGATATTATCACAAATTGAGGGGCATTCTTGATATTTTCCCTTTTATCAACCAATATAGACAATATAGACAAAGAATAAAATTAACAACACAAAGTTTCTGAACAACACGAAAATAACATATAATAACAAAAAAAATCAAGTGAAATATTGTCGGTGCATCTAGACAGAGTTCTATGGAAGTTGCTGCTCCGGGTACTACTCGCACAAATCTGCTACTGCTGCAGCGATGTTGCCATTGCTGTCATCGCTCAAGCTTCAGCCAAAGCTCGGCGCTGTCTGAGCCTTTTGGGCTGAAGAATGGACAGGAATTGCGTGTTTTCGACAACTTGCAGTGGGTTGAAGTTTCCACTGCTTGTTTTGAAAGCTGGGCTGGAGTTGGTACATTGCATGTCAGAGTCGGCCTACGCAAAGTTGTGGAGGTAAGCTTTTTCGTCTTGGCTTGTGGGTTTTTTCTTCAACTGGGTGGTCTTTGCAATGAACCAGTGGGATTCGGGTTGCTAGATTTTGGGAGAGAAGTGATGATCTAGCGGTTCATTTGAAGGAGATGCAATTTTTTAGAGGGACTGGTGAGGTTGAGAGGTGATCTCGAAGGTGATGCAATTCTTGGACGGGGTGGTGGATCGTTGGGGTTGGATTGTCTCAGAAGCGGCGTTCACTTTTTGTCTCTGTCAACTGTTATGAACAGAGGAGCTGTTGACGATATTTCTTTGCACCCCAGCTATTTCGGATATGGGCAACGTATTTCGCGTGATAATTTGAAGATTGAAGAATTTTGCTTCGTGTGACTAATCTAGTGTGAGCTTAGTATTGATTAGATAGCTGAGTTTTGCAAAAACATTGGGTTGCAGTGACCTCGCTGAGTGAGAACAAACGTAGCTAGTGAGACGAAAGGAGAGCAGCTATGGGGATCCAGGGGTTGCTGCCCACCCTGAAGTCTATCATGCACCCTCGACACGCACAGGAGTATGCTGGAAAGCGGGCCGCGATTGATACTTATTCTTGGCTCCACAAGGCCGTCCTCAGCTGCAGCAGGGATTTGTGTCATGGGCGCCACAATGACAAGTGAGTACTCAAAGAATTTTACACAGACAACAACCAATTTCCTATGGTGACAATATTCTTAGTTTTTCAGGCTAGCAATGAGTTCCTCAAATCTACGGCTGCTGCCCCATGCATTTCATTAGGCTTGGCTTGGTACTGTGTGGAGTTTCTTTAAGTTTTGCAGAATCGGATTTTATCAATGACCCATATTCCGTTTGATGTTGCCGTTCGAGAAGGTACATAGACTACTGCATGCGTAGAGTCCAAATGTTGCGATACTACGGCGTGCAGCCCGTCCTAGTGTTCGATGGAGGTAGCCTCCCTATGAAGTCTGATCAGGAAATTAAGCGTGCCAGGTAAGTTACAATTATACGAAGGGTTTTGGCTGTAGCCTGATGGTGTTGGTGTGCTCTATTTACCATTGCAGACTTTGTTCCATGCGAGGATAGGTACAGCAGATCAAGCTATGACGCAGCTTTTAATTTGGTTTTTGACGTGTGGGACTGGGACAGATCAAGGAAGGAGAACCTGGAACGTGCCTTGGAGTATGAACGGTTGGGAAACCACTCCGCCGCTTACGAATGCTACCAGAGGGCTGTGGATATAACTCCTGCAATAGCATTCAGGCTGATACAGGTACTCAGTACCTAAGTGATAGTTAATGCAGTGATTCCACTGCATTTATTTATTTATTTATTTGTCTTCTTGGGAGAATCGAAAAGGCTCATGTTGATTTAGGTGCTTCAGAATGTGTGCTTAGCTTGGACGTATTGACCTTGCATCTCAATCTGAAAAACAAAAAAGGTTTCGAAATGTTGAGGTTTGTGTGTTGATTCGAAACCAGGTACTGCGGCAGGAGAATGTGCAGTATGTGGTTGCACCATATGAAGCTGATGCTCAGTTAGTCTTTTTAGCACTCAACAGACACGTGGATTTTGTCATCACAGAAGACTCTGATCTAATTGTATATGGTTGTCCGCAGGTAGCCCTCACTTTCTCGAAGTATAAGCATAAAGTTGAACGAAGGAGTGGTTTTTTCATCAAAAAATACAAAACGTTTTGCTTTGCTAGACTCAAGTCGCATATAACTAATAGTTTCTTTCTGATACATCGCAGAAGCGTGCTCTTCTAACATCAACTATGTCCGTGGCAGATTTTTTTCAAGATGGATAAACATGGGCAAGGTGTGGGGTTTCAAATCTCTGACATTACGGCGAATAAAGATATCGATCTCAGCGATTTCACGAAACAAATGATTCTTGAAATGTGCATAATGAGCGGTTGCGATTATTTGCCTTCTTTGCCAGGAATAGGTGTGAAAAGATCTCATGGCTTAATTAAACGTTTCAGGACCTATCAAAAGGTCGCAACATCACATTTCCTCAAACGTTCCTGACTGACGATGTGAATTAGTCTTCTTCTTATGTTGTAATCCTGTACTCTTCTTCTCCAGGTCAAATGCGTTTCAATCAAATGTTGAGTTGAAAAATTAAAGCTGTTTCGTAAGTTGTTGATTATATCAACATATTCCAGAAACTCATGAGGTCATCTTTCCATCCCATTTTTCGTGTATATTTCTCATGATTTGCCGCTCAAGTTGGAGTGCAGGCACTGAAGCATTTGGAGGCGAAAGGTGTTCTTATAGATCCACAGTATGAACAAGGTTTCCACAGAGCAATTTTGACGTTCCGACACCATCGTGTTTACGATCCTGTGAAAAAGGAGATGGTGCACCTCACTGGTGTACCGAGTGAACTTGACACCAACCTAGACTTTCTGGGACCATATCCTCTTGTTGAGATTTTCACAAACCGGTTTTATTACAATTATGAGGTTTAAGTTCTGCATATTATCCCTCTAATTCTGTGATCACATGTATCGGTTCACTCACCCACATCACCTGTTATACACTTAACCCTGACCTACGCACCTCCCTCAGACAACTGCCACAGCCATCGCCCGAGGTGAAGTAGACCCAACCACCTTTGAATCCTTCCAGGTACGATTCTCTCCCGTTCTGCACCTCTCCACATGTTGAAACTGCGCTGCGTGTTTGTGTGTGTGTGTGTGTGAGAGAGAGAGAGAGAGAGAGGGAGAGAGAAGCTCCTGGGTTTTTTGATACCAATTGGTGGCTACGTTCTCAGGACTTCAGCAGCTCGGGAAGGTTAGTAGCAGACTCTAATGCAACTGTGCAGAATGGTGTTTCCAACAAAAAAGTGGGGTTTTCTGCCAAGAAGAATCTCCCAGCTATCAATTCCTCCCGTACCCACCAGCATCATCGTTCAGGTTCTAGGCCTTGCTTCCAGCTATCTGACTTGAAGGCTGCTCTTGTCTCGTTTCTCATCTCATGGGGTCTTGTGTGTATCCTGCTTGCTTGCAATCCACAGGTAGAATCACTTGTGTAATGTATCGCATGCTTCGTACAGCACCTCTCAGTAGTAATGGACCTTTCTGTCAAGGGCTCCAATGCCTCTGTCTTCCATAGCTTGTAATTCTTACAAAGTCTTTTGAGAGTCTCTACTTTGTTAGCTTTCAAAATCTCCCAGGCAAGTGTATAGTTTACAAACCTTGGAGGTGTCAAAGTTTACATTCAACACAACACAAATATAGTGTCATACGGCTTAAAGACGTTTGCTTTCCTTGATGACAATAAAACCCACCTCAGCACTGGGAATGTCAATTGAAATCAGCTTCAATGGTGAATTGGTTTGTTAGGTTGGATAAGTTGTCAATTTCATTTCATTGATTCTGTGTCTGTGCATAAGTTTTGTGAGTGTTTGTGCGCTACGCGTTCTCTGTAAAAGGAGATGTATAACTGATCCGAGTTTAAGAGCTATGATTTGTTTTGTAGTAGAATTAACATCAAAATATATCTATACATAAGTAAATAGATGTTGATGGTTTTGTATTAAAGAAAAAATCAAGTATTGATAGCAAATCTTGGATTGATAATTGAATAGTTATGCTTAAGTACAAAAGATCTGTAATTTACAAGATACACGAAATTTGAAGAAACAAAATAGAAAGATTGAAGATAGTTTTAGTTATGTTAACTGTAAAACTAAAAATTTGCTGTCCAGCACTTTACAAATGTATTAAAAAGATTTTTTTTTTTTTTTTTTTTTTTTTTTTTATCTTTTTAGTTTTGAAGCAAACTAAGATTATTGTTTTAAGAAAAAATTGTGTTTTGTTTGATTATGTTATTGGATTTATGTCATTCTTTTATTAAAATAAAATTTCATAAATTATTGAGAATAAAGTTTTTAGATTTATTTCAAAACATATCATTTTCTTGAAGATAATAAAATTCACTAAGTTAAAAATTTATTTTTTATAAAATTCAAACATATAAAATTATATCTTTAATGTGTATATTAGCATACAAAACTTTTGCTTTGTTTTAAAAGTAAAATAGTAAAGCAAATCATTTTGGTGTAATTGAGGTGGGGCACTAAAGACCCTTGTTATGCAACATAAATCATTTGGAAGTTTTATTTGTAATTATGCCTCTTTCTTACTTTTTCACATTTTTATTTTCTTTATTTCTTTATTTCTTTATTTCTTTCTTTCTTTCATTCTTTCCTTCTATTCAAAAAAACATAAAATATAATATCCAAATATTTATGATAAATAATATTTTTAATATGTCTAGAACATCCATTGCTATCAAACATATTGATGGTAATGTTTTGTTTAAACTTTTTTCATCAATATGAATATATATATATATATATATATATATATATAATTGTATCATTTTTTTGTTGCATATTCAAATCACTTCTAAATTATTTTATGATATCTTCTAAATTTTGCTATTCTCATTATAGTGTTTATTTTAAGTAAACAGTCTTAAATGTTAAAATAATATCAATTAATTTTTTCCATTTACGACATCTTATAATCATGTCCCCAATATTTATTATATTATTGCTCTCATTAATTTTTGACTTAAATTGTATTTAAACTATTTCTATGAGGTTACTAAAAACATTTGTGACAACCTTAAAATGCTTTGGTGTTTTTTGTTGTATGATTTTGTTTTACAACTTGCATAGCTATTTCCAAATATCTTTATTAAAAAGATTTGTAAAGCAAAAAAATCTTCACCATTTTTTTTTCTATCTTTGTTTTGTTTTCAACTTACATAGCAATAAGAGTATTTTTAAAATTTATAATATTAATAAAGTTTCTTATTTTAAAGGAGGTGATAAAAAAATTCCATTGTTATACAAGCAGGTGGTGCAAAATCTCCAAATTAATACATAAGAGGTGTTAGTTTTGGCAAAAGTTCACATTGTGCATAAAGCATGTGTCAACTTGGGGGAATATTTATTAATCAAGTCTTTTGGTGTCCATTAGTTGATGTTTGGTGTTCCTAAATTGTTACTAAATTATCATAGCTTCTCTTTTTATAATATAGAATTTTTAAGTGACAAAGAACTCTCACCTCCATGCAATATATAAGAATCTTGCATACAAACAAACATCTTTTACTTTAAGATATTATATATATATATATATATATATTATTTATTTTTTATTTGCTTAAATAGAACTTTGGGCTCATTTGTAGACACTTAAGGCCTTTATATTATGGCATCATCATTTACACATAAGAAATATTCTAATTAGTATTTGGTTGCAAATTTCCATTAGATTCTTTATCTCAAAATCAAGATTTCTATTTCCTTCAAGTTCTTACTTTGTTGTTTGTACAAGTTTTTATTTTAAAATTTTAGCTCACATTGTGTGATTCTTTTCTTTGACCTACTCTAGAAAGTGCTTCTTTAAGGACATACAAGTATTTCACTTCAAATTCTTACTTGTTTTTAAAGATTTTTAAGCTAAATGTGTATAAAAGTATTGGCAAGTGTTAATAAGTGAGATTTTATTATAAAAAGGTATTGAAGTATTTATCCAAAGAACAATAAATAAATAAGACAACCATTAACATAACATATTATGGAATTATAATAGAATAATAAATTTATAGTTGTGATTTTTAAGCAAATAAATATAATTATAGCATTTTTTTAAAATAAGATATATATGTTCAATTTTAAAATAAAAATATCCAAGATTTATTTTTGAAAAAAACTTGAACGAACCCAACTATCATCCAAAAATTTCGTCTAAAATCCCATTATCGTTCAGGATTCGTCCACTTAGGGTTTCCTCTATGGCGAATAGAGAGATGGAAGTGTTGCAGCACCAGAGCAAGCAAGCGAAGAAGAAGGAGAATAGGAGTAGGAGGAGGCAGGGGTGAGAGCGAGGAGGGATTGTGAGCAACGGAGCGCAGCGATGGCATCGTCATCGGAGAGGCGAGGCATTCCAGCAGCAACTTTCGTGAAGGACGTGCAAGAGTTTTTGGTGCAGTACGATGGCAACCCGGGGACGTGCTTAACAGCCCTTCAGGAGAGGCTGCAGCAATACAAGCTGGCGGAGATGAAGCTTCTAGGGCAGAAGCGCGACCTGCTGGCGAAGATTCCCGACATCCGCAAGTGTTTGCAGGTGGTGGACCTCATGATGGCGAAGAAGGGCAGCGAGGAGCCTCTGAAGATGGATTTCGAGGTCGCGGAGGGAATTTATGCGCAGGCGGAGTTTCAGGATACCGAGACAGTGTGCTTGTGGCTTGGGGCCAATGTGATGCTGGAGTACGGGTGTGAGGAGGCGAAGGAACTATTGACTCGGAATTTGGACACCGCGAATAAGAGCTTGAAGTCGATCGTGGAAGATCTGCACTTCTTGCGTGACCAGATGACCATTACTGAGGTGACCATTGCTCGTGTGTACAACTGGGATGTGCATCAGCGGAGGAAGCAGCGGGCGATTAGACCTGAAGCCGACACGGCAGTTGCTTGATGTGGTAGATGAGATTTATCAGGGCTTGTCTCGAACTCTGTACTTATGTTCTCGTTTTTTTTGAGGGGAGGTAATTGAAGTGATTACAAGGTCAACTGTCATCGTGTGCAAAGTATGTCGGGAATACCTGGAGGTGATATTTGAGATTGGTCAGCTGGCCTAATTATGCGAGGAGAACAGCAGAAGAAAGCGTAGCGAGTATAACTGTCAACCAAATGCTAGGGTTTTCACTTCGAGCCTGCCCTCTGGCTCGTAGGTTACGCACGGTGCGATCGCAATCAAGTTCTTGAGGCACTTCCTTGATTAGGTTGCAAGCAGCGCTAGGTGAAATTGTGCTGTAAGAAATCAATGGCTTGTATCATTGGGTAGTATTTCATGTCATGCTTACCCTATCCCTAAGACTAATGGCGAATATAGCGAACTTGAATTGAGGGGTAGGCTGTAGTGGTATTAGATGTTCTTACAGTTTTTGGTTCTCTTTCTCCATGTTACGTTGTTCAATGAAGTGATAATTCTGTTCTAAGGAATTTCTGATGTCTTTGTCATGTAGTTTCTGTCTCAGTAACAAATTATTTTTTTAGGTTTAATAATTATGTGAGGTAATAGAATTAACCTGAAGGTTACCGTGACATTCTGGAAGTGCTCTCTTTGTTATCTTACTCAGCTCTTCTTACCAAGCCCTCAGTCTGCCCAGATAAAGTTTATTACTGGAATATATGTAGAATTGTCTTCCCACAGCTGATCTTCATACATCTTAAAAGTTTCAGTTTGATATTACTGCATCACTAGGGAGGAAGTATTTGATAATGTCAACGTGTTTATGTCAGAACCGACCTTGAAAGCAAATTGATCAGAGCCATCACTATTTGCTTTATCAGTTGGTGTGACCAATCAAGACATATATGACTATTTGTGTGTTTGCATTTGTTTGTTAATTTACCACTGTAATGTGTGCGATTGTAGGGTGAACCCCAGTTAGTGATATTTGTAAATGGTTGCTCATCTGTGGACTAACTACGTTTAGTGAAGCTTTCGTAGCAATTCATTCGAGGTTTGGAACAGCCCTTGCCTGTGGAATTTTAATTTCAATATTAAAATATTCCTTGGACTTTCTGGAGGTGTAGCTAGAGAAGAAAGCCATACGAATGAATTACACTAATAGGCATGATTTTGGCGTGAGTCATCCTAGTTCGGCTTCACCAGCTGTACTGTGCCATGTCCGATAAACTTACTTTTGATGCGAGGCGTAATTTGAGGTTGAATCTCAGTTGAAGTTGGGTCCAGTTCAATAACAGCAGAATCCACCGCTTTAATTATCAGTTACACCATGCCTCTGCCCCAGATTGTTGAAAACTTATACTGTGTTTTTTTTAGTAGAGGAATGAGTTATTTTGAGGCACATTGGGTAAATGTTAATGTCAAAGGAGGAAAAAAGGCTTGAACATGAGAAACGTATCTTAAATCAGTGAAACTGTAACGTGAAAATAAAAAAAATATAAGTAAATTAGTAGATATTATAGTTGTGTGAGACATTTTAAGTTTCCGATTATTGTGAAGCATGTGGATGATAGGATGTGAAAGGGTTAGAGTTTCATCACTAACAGAATACTCAAGACAGATGGACAATGTATTAACACAAACATAGATTTATTAAATAATCTTTTGACTTTAGATAAGCCTTGTGGGTTACAAAATGAGCCAAAGTTTAGAACAGCTTTGTCCACGATTTGTTACAAAGTTCACAATTGCATTATTTCTATATCGCACCTAGTTTGATAAAGTTTTGAAATTTGAATTGAAACTAATTTATGTATTGAATTGATAATGTTTGTTTGTGAAAAAAATGCATTGTCACTATATATATATATATATATATATATATAAGAAATCTGTTTTGGATTTACAATTTGAAGATTGAATATTGTAACAAAGATGTAAATAATGCTTTGAATGTTCCTGTGGCTGATTTAATTTCATTATTTTTATTTAACTTTGATATCACGTCAAAATTTATATATGAATAAATATATTTTGAAAAATAATAATAAAGTAGTAGGTAGTACAATTAAAAATAAAAAAATAAAAAAAACAAGTCTAAGTTGCAACAACTATTGTATTAACAAATTGAGTACGGTCTTGTGTGGTTATGTTTTAAAGTTTAAAACATATGGATTCAAAGAATGGATTCTACATATGAACAAATGAAATAATAAAACAGTTTACCATCTTCAATAAAATAATAAAATGATTGACCAAATAAAATCCAAAATGCAAATTGATAATCAAATGTTCTAGACAATATATGTATCTGTGTGAATATATATATACACGTACATATATCAAATTTAGCATAAAAGCATTCAATTTTTTATTGCAATAAAAATATAGAAATTTCAATGGTTGGTTAAGCAATGGGCTACGAGGTAGTTCCATAGTAAGCTTCGGTCATAAAAGATTTTGAATTCAAGCCCACATCATTAGACTACAAACTTGTCATTCATCCCTTCTTCTTCTCTTTTATATTTTATATTATGTTTTTATTGATATGTTTATGCTTTTCTTTTTCAGAAAAAGTAGATGTGTCCCTTTCTTATTAATAAATAGAGGCTTGTAAAAAGGAAATCAATTGAGGATCATTATATATGTGGATTGATAAATCATTTTATAAGGAAACAGCTCTTAAATTGTCTTAAAGTCTATTCCTTCACAAATCAAAATTTTAGATGTATAAACATCATCAAATTCTCTTTTTATTTCTTATCATAATTATGTAGGTATTATTTCTTCTTGTAGATTTTTCATTCAATAAATTTTATTATATTTTTTTATAACTAATGATCATATTGTATGCACGTCTTTATTAAAATATTAAACGATATTTTAGAAAGACTTGTCATTATGAATAATTTAGGGTATTTAAACATATTTTTTATCATAAAATTTAAAATTTTAATGTTATTTTTTATTTTAAAATAATGGTTCAAATGTGATTGTCTAAAATCTAATATTTGCTATGGCCTACTTAAATATAGGTCAAATTCTACCTTGTTGAATAGAGAAATCTATTGTTTTTATTTTTGAAATCTTATACAATAGATAAAAGAACTATCATTTAAAATACAAGAAATACATTTCTTCTAAATATTGAGAATATTAACCTTGTGGTATTATACTTGTCTCAACAAAAAATCTTTATAAATAATTTTTTATTTTTTATTAAAAGAAATAAATAAAGAATCTATTATTTAGATTTAGTTATAAAATCAGAATATGAAATATATATATATATATATATATATATATATATATATATATATCTTAATTTTTTAATATTGAATATAAGATTTAAATTCTAAAAAATAAATTAATAGAAATAATTATAATAATTTATTAATAGAATTTAATAGAATTTTAAATTTTAAACAATATAAAAGAAAATCAAGTTTGGATTCTTTTAATACTCCTATGTAAGAAAAGAAAAAGTTAAACTTAAAATACTTGTTAACATCATAGAATTGAATGTTTAAGTGTCTTTAGATGTGCCATGTGGTTATAGAAATTTCTCTAAGATGTTAAATATGTGCAAGAAGCTGCTTTAGAAACATCTTACTACTTAGATACTTGATTGTCAATCTGTATGGTTTTCAAAAACATCCATATATAAAAAATTTATTAAATGTTATGTATAGAGGCAAGACTAAGGTTTTAATCTTAAATATCTTTTTTTATTCAAATATTTACTACACTCTCTTTGATCAATGTGAATATAACAATAATTTTAACATCTTTCTATGTTATAAATTAAAAAAAAAAAAAAAAAAAAAAAAAAAAAACTTCGTCTATTTTTATTTTTTTTAATATATAAGTTGGTTTAAATTGATGTTTTTGTGATTAATTAATTCTTGTTAAACTTATATATTTTTGATAATATTTCAAAATCTCTCTTCAACTTTTGTTTTATTGATTGATTTATTTATTTGTTATCATATGTACTTCAATTTTTTTTAATTCTAAAAAGCAAATATATATATATATATATAATAAAATGTTAAATCGACCCCACTATCCATTCATTTGACCCATTGTCAAAGACAAGAACTCGATGAAAAAGAAATTCACACAAGTGAACCTTCACTCGAAGAAAGGTAACAAAATATAAATAAACAAGTATGTATATTGAAAGAGAAACTAGAATGGCTATTGCCAAAAGACAACAAAACTAGAGACCCTTGAAACTAGACTAGAAGCAAGAAAGCAGTTGACAAGAGTGAAGAAGGCTTCACTCTTGTCTCTATATATACTATCCAACTAGGAACTACGTAGCAACATTCTATAGGACCTCCAATATGTGTTGACTTTGTAGGACACATGCCTTGACTTATAAGGCAAGTTTTTCTACGTGTGGGCTACATAGTTAGCTTGATCTTCAAGCTAAGAACATGTGTGGCACATGGCCAACTTGTTGACCACGTTTCTAATCCAAAAAGTCAATTAAAGACACCTATGAAGTCAAAGCAGCGTCTATGAAGCTTCTAGGAAGCTTCCATATTAAATACTATAGAATTAACTTACTTTTACCTACTTTTACTTACTTCCACCTATTTGTATATGTAATTACTAGCTTACATGAGTATGTCCGTGACATTATCCCTCCTTCTAGACACGAGTTCCACGAGGAGCAGTCATCATATGTTGAGGAAATCTATGATGCGACAAATTACATTCGCCACATACTCTGATCTTTGTTCTCTTCGAAGATGATTGATAGGGCCTCTCAACCATCGATAGTGTCTCATACCAGGGCGGGAAGACCATCCAATTATTTGATCATTGTTGAGGCCTTCATAACTTCCTTCAAATAGAACATTAGGAACACCATCAGGAGTTGTTCCTACCTCTAGCAAAATCACCAAACATCGGGAGTCCCTTCCCAAATCGTGATACCAAACACGTTATATCTCGCCATCTATTTGAGGAAAAACATGTCGTTCTTGAAGATCTTCATCTCGATTGCGTCTTCTTGAAGGTTGTGACAATCGTAATGTCTTATCCGGCAAGTCAACAAATGAAGGCTCTTGAGTTGAATCCACTGGTTGTTGGTTTCCCATCTGCTCAACGTCACAACTACAAAGAAGCTATGAACAAGAATTGAAAGTAGAAAGTTATCTTGCCTAGATGTTGTTTCTTTTATAAAGAAGGTTTTCATCTTGATTTTGATGGATGTTGTCGATGAAAAGCCTCCATCGTCTTTGCTGCATTTGCAAGATTCTTTATTGGCTCCCATGTGCGTTCACTAATATCATATCCGCACCAATGGACAAGATATTCCAATTTTTTTTGGCGTCGCCTTGAATCTAAGACTTCTTCTACTTCAAACTCTTCATTATTGTCCACTTCTATAGGAGGAGGTGGAGCTTGTCCTCTTCTTGGTATGTCCACTGTCTTATACGTTTCAAGAAGAGACATGTGAAATACTGGATGGATTTTCATTGACTTCGGTAGATGTAAACGATATGCAACTGGATTGATTTGTGCAGAAATAGAAAATGGTCCAAGTCTTCGATAGTCCAATTTGTCACAAGAACGAGTGGACTTGATATTGCGACAAAGTAGCCATACCTTATCACCCAAGAAGAATCGTGGTTGTTCCTTTCGATATACATCCGCATTGATCTTTTGTTGTTCTTGAGCCTCTTTTAACTACGCCTTCATCCTTGCATGTAGCTCTGATAAATAAATCGCCAAATCTTTCATAGCAGGATTATTAACTTTTGAAA